TTTTTTTTTTTAATAATGGTTATTGAATGATCGAAAAAATAAAAAATCATAAAGTAACTATCAAATTTGATCGGAAGAATATAAATCCAATTTCAACGGCTAAATTATGACTTTTATTATAAAGATCTAACTGTTACGACCTCTGCAATAAATCAAAGAAGAAACATTTCTCCAGAAATTTTTCCTAGTTATCGCTCTTTATTTGATTCGATTTCAATTGAAGCTCTAACACCAAAGCCATGTTTTGTGATATACTGGGACCACTTACGGACATCATCCAAATTGAAGAACCACAATTGGCATAGGTACTCGATGTATGTATATACTTATGTTAAGCACACTCACATCGATTCGTTTTTTTTTTTTTAGATATGAAACTTCCTTGCCCTTAAGTGCGCCTTTCTTTCTTTTATAGGAGTTATTGTTTGTAGATGAGATATTTTTTCAAATGTCCATCAATAATTTACTACAATGAATAAGACATAAATATGTATCTGTATCTTCTACGGCATCAATCAGTTTAGTAAAAATGGTAAATCAACTCCTCTACTTTTATTTATGGGTTGATGAACCGCTGCACATTGGTGTACTACTTCAGCTTCAGCTTCACTTGACTCAAATTAAGTTAATTTGAATCAATGTTGCCAGATCCCAGTTTTAACTGTAAGTTACAGTTATTTTTTTTTTTTTTAGAAAAGCTCGCAGTTGTTTAAATTACCTCTTAGCACAAATTATAGTTTTCCGAAATGTCCGTTTCGAACGAATAAATTAAAATTTCCTTTTTGGTTTCTTTGTGAGTCAGTTTTTAAAATAAAAGGGACAATGAAGGAGCAGCGTTTCCTCACGTGAAACAAATTTTTTCAGCTGTTCCTGGCACTCCAGTCGCCACAGAAAATGTTGAAATAATATTTGCTGGAGTCAATATGAATAAAAAAAGAAATATACTAGCAATTGTAGCACTCTCTGCTATTTTAGGAACTAAAAGCTTCTTAAAACCAATGTTTCAGGAGGTGCAAAATCTGAATCAAATGAACAAAAAAAAAGCAATTTACGAAAAATAATAAAACTCAATTTCACTAAAACAAAATGTGATTTAAATGTTACATATAATGAAGTTCATTTGGGTTTAATTGAGTATAATTTAAAATATTTTTTTTTATTTATTATAAATTAATCGTTTTTTGTTATATATTTCTGCTTCATAAAATTAAAAAAACGTTACTTTTTTTGAAAAACGTCCTTCGTTTTTGAAGAGTACAGTTTTTGGTCGAAAATGCAGTTTTTTTTTTAGAAATTTATAGTTTTTGAAAAAAGAAATTCTGGCAACATTGACTTCAATTGATATTTTTGCTCTAATACTTTATTAACGAAGCTTAATTGATTGTCAATTTTTACATAACTATGTATGTATATATGTGCTCTTATTTTTAAAATAAACCAACTGAAAAACTACTTTGCACCAATTTGTGTCTTGGAAGAATACAAAAGCATCTGTGAAGTGCAGAACGAAAGCGTATTCAAATTAAACATATTGACTTTGAAGCTCCTTAAGGCAAATGCATTTTAAAGCACCAGAAATGAAATGCAGAGTCGGATAATTGAGTGCTTCCTAGGACAACGCCATGTTAAATAAATCAGTTCGTTGCAGGGGAAAAGTAAGAATTCCAATTAGTTATTATTGAAAATAAAGTAGTTTATAAAGTACATTAAAATTTATTTAATTTCCTGCAGGGTAACCATTCGCACTAAAGTCTTCATTCATCTAGTTGCAACAATGACTTTAAAACTAAAATGAAATAATTGAAAGTATGGAGTTTATACGTTGCGTGTGAACCAACATATTACATGTACTTACCTATAAATATTCGTGATGTGAAATGAATATTTTGCTACTAAACGACGCCCCCAACAATACTAAAAATGCATTAAAAAATGAAACCATTTCATGACTCTTTGAAATACCACATATATGTATGTATGTGTGTACATCTTATATTAACATACATATGTACATTTGTATATACAATTGACATTAAAAATGGGCATTTCCATGGGCTAAAGATCTTACTTGGCTGCATATTCAGTGTAAAGGAAAAAAACCCGAAACTTGGAAGATTTTTCTCTCATACTCTGTAGATATGTGTGGCATAAACATTTTGGCAATGCTGTTATGTTACTTTTTTCTGGATACAAGTTACATACTTAGCTTCGACTTTAGTCTCTGATACAACAGTTCACTAGGCGAGCGCACAACGAAAGTCAGTACATCTACAGTTAAAAAGGGTTTCTGGACCGCGATAGACCGGAAATAGTGAAGGATGGAGATTTGGTAGCACACTGATGGAAATTTTGACAGAGCACATATGTATATCACATCTGGTTCACAGATGCCCTCGAAGCTTATTGCAGGAAGTTTAGGAAGAATCTGCTAAGAAAGATTTAGGTTTAACCCGAAGAAGCTCTTTGGAATTGACATCAGACGCCTGCGAACCACTAATAACACTGTGGTATCGCAGAGAAAAACTTTAAACTCCCTTTTTTTTAATACAACATAAGCGCTCTCTAAAGGCCAAAGCTGAGACCGCACCAAGTATTTACATATGTATTTTATAACAAAAAAAAAACAAAAAAATCTTTAGGGGTATACAAATTTATATTATCACGTCAATCGGCTGTTTATCACGTTATACATATGAATACCANTAAGCGCTCTCTAAAGGCCAAAGCTGAGACCGCACCAAGTATTTACATATGTATTTTATAACAAAAAAAAAAAAAAAACAAAAAAATCTTTAGGGGTATTCGTTTAACGTCTCAAGCGGCTATACAAATTGATAATCTTATCACGTCAATCGGCTGTTTATCACGTTATACATATGAATACCCATTTTTGTAAATTTTAGATTTTTATTATTGAAGAAAATCAATCATTTAAAGAACAAAATTGGAATATTTTTTATGAACAAAAAAGTGCCGGCAAATCCTAGAAACCAACAAAAGATTTCGAAAAATACGGAGAAATATCGAAAAACCCTCGAAAAAAAACGAAAATTAGGAATAAATTTTATTTTTTTTTAACAATACCTAAAAAATAAAAAAAACCAAAAATAAAACCATAAGCAAAACTTTCCCCGTTAGTTTTACTTAGCAAAAGTAAAAAAGCTGAAACTATCGGTTTTTCTTGTTCTTGTTCTACAACGTCTAAGGATTCCGATGGTGCTGCACGTAAAAAATGGCACCACACTTTTTTCAGCGTTTTTTTGGTATAAAAACTATAAAATATGTAACTCTATCATCATTTTATTTTTCGTTCAAAGGGAACATCTCCAAGAAAATGCCCATACGTAATTGCATTTTTACACACGTCTCCGTGTCGGTTCGCAATTTTGGTCGACTATCAGTGACTATTAAATAAGTTACAGTGTTCTACGGGAACTGGAAATTACAGTATTTGGTTTTTCTTACTACTCATATATACTTACATACATACATATACATACATAGATATATATCGATATAAAACTAATTGTTTTAGAATTTTTTCGTAACTAAGTTACAGCCATTCCATTCCCATTATTGTTTATTCAGCATTTCAGTAGATTTTTTGCTTTACATACACACACACAATTTTACTTGGTAGATTTTTCATTTATTTTCGTATTTTCTCTATTTTAGCTTAACACAGAATGCAATCAGTCAAGACCAACGATTTGCCGGAAAATCCGCGCGAACGTGCCAATGTGATATCAGCGTTTTGTTTTTGGTAAGCACATTTGACATTCGTTTGCTTCGCATTTATGCACATACAGTATCGGTCATGTCAATAGTACCTACCCCCCATTTCAAAGTTATATTTTATTTTAAGAATCTTCAATTAAAATATATTACATTCTCTAGCAAAATCATTTAAATCCAAGTTTAAATTTAGAACTTTATAGATAACTAAAAAAATTAACAAATTTTCACCCGAATTCCAAATTTTTTTCTCAAAAGTGTTAGAATCTAAAAATAAATTGTGTTTATTCGTTATATGGAAGAAAACCTCAACAACTACGGGGAAGAAGTTCTACAAAATCAACGGTAATTTTTAGCCACTCGAAACTTGCCACAATTACCCTAAAATGGAATGAGCTATAAAACTGTGCAATAAAAAACACTTCTGAGAAAAAAGTTTGAAAATTTTTTGAATTTTTTTTATTTCCTACAAAGTTTTTTAACTTGTTCATTTAATTAACTGTGTTTTAATTGAAAAATCTTAAAAATAAACAAATAAACATCAGTGACAAACAACAGCACTTTGAAAAGGGGGGTGCTATTAACATGACCGATACTGTATGTAATATATTGATTAGCTGTTCAATATTACATAAGTATATTCTTTTTACATTGTAGGTTCACGTTACCGATATTTTTCAAAGGCCGTAAAAAGACTCTTGATACAAGAGATTTGTACAAGGCGTTGACGGTGCACAAATCAGGTGAGTTGGAAAATATATGTACATACATACATAACTAAGTGCAATTGTCAGTTTTGGAATAGACTTAACGATAATTTGTCAGCTCTTATGGATATTTAGCGTAATCTAATTCTTTAGTATTTAAATGCCAGAATTGGCTGGAGAAAAGGTCGAACGAAGAAGAAGTACTCCAGCACAATTCCTGAATTTAGATTTAATCATAACTATTCTATAAAAAAAAACTATATAAAAAAACTATACATATAAAAATTAATTTGACAGAAAACAGCAGACTTTAAGCTTGAGAGGTCTGCATAAAAAGGTTTAACATTTTTATCAACTGAATCAAACTAGATAATGGAATTTTTTGATGTGTTTTCAAATCGGTCCAGCTCAGAAATAGTGTGCGCCTGGAACCTTTAAAATATAATAAATATTATAATTACTGTGGAAAAACAACGCAACTTTTTTAGGCGAGGTACCCTAATGTACATATTAGAGATGGGCGCGGGATATCGGGACACACAAGACACGCGGTACAAATCTGAAAAACGTGGGGATGGGCAGATTCGGTACTTAAAAATTTTATGTCGGGATGGGCGGGAACGGAATTGAATATTTAGTCCCGCGCCCAACTCTAGTACATATCGTATCATATCACTGGAGTGTGTCAATCGAAAAGTTGTGTAGTTTCTAAAATAAAAGATTTATGAATGTAATTCTACACAGTATGTGGAATCAGCTGAATTTCGCTTATGCATATGTATATTCCTCGTTATTTACTATATTACTTCATTGATCTCAATGTTTGGTCGATAGCAACCTATGTTAGGTTAGGTTAGAATGGTGGCGGATAACTATTACGCCCAAGTAGCAGCTAAGTGCCATTTTGATACCATATACCTCGAATGAGTGTGTTAGAGCCAGCCGGCGTGGTTGATGAAGTTGAGTATGTTGCGGAGACTTACATCAGATAGCTCTCGTAACGATGTGAACTCTTATGCTCCTAGCATGGTAGTTCTGCTCCTCATTAGAGCTGGACATTTGCAAAGCAGGTGTTCTACTGTTTCCTGCTCGTTCTCATCTCTGCAGCTTCTACAGAAGTCGTTGTAGGCGATTCCCAGCCTTCTCGCGTGGGTACCAATCGGCCAATGCCCAGTAAGGGTCGCAACAAGCCTAGAAACGTCAGATCTGGTTTTTCTTAGTTGGTTGTGTGTTCTCTCAGGGCTGTACGCAGGCCACAATAGTTTGGATAAACGGCAGCCTGCCACGGTGCGCCATCTTTGATCCGATTTCCGGAGATTGTGGAGAAATATGTTTTTATATAAGGTTCCAATTGGGGGTGAGATCCGGTCCTCGATCGACACCAATGTGGAACCCTCTCTGGCTAACTCGTCTGCAGCCTCGTTTCCGGGAATGTTGCTATGGCCAGGGACCCAAACTAAATCTAAATCGAGTTGTCGACTTACTGTATTTTTTAACAGTGTCCTACACTCCTTGATTAGTTTCGACCTTGTTGTAAAAGACGCTAAGGCCTTAATGGCCGCCTGGCTATCTGAGAAAATGGCTACTCGCTCGCCGTAACGCAATCCACTACGTTCTAAGAGACGGCAGCCTTCGGCTATAGCGAATACTTCTGCTTGGAAGACACTCGCGAAATCGGTCAGATGAATTGATCTTTTTACTCCCCGTGACTCAGAGTAAATACCTGCTCCAACTCCGCGTTCCATTTTGGAGCCATCGGTGTATGTACATATGATAGCAACCTTTACTTCTTGTGTCCCCGTACCACTGTTGCCAACTTGGTGCTTTTCGCAATAAATTTAGTGCTTTTCATTATTTAAAACGCGAAAATTGATGATTTTGGTGTTCGGAGCGTTTTTTGGTGCTTTTTTTAGTTTGAGCACACCAAATCTGTAAATCTTAAACAAAAAATAAAGTTAAATTTATAGCAATTGTAAGTTTCGCAAGCAACTTTAGAAAAATTGAAATAAAAGCATGGCACAATGACAATCATAAGCGAGAGAGAGAGCATATGTTTGCCAACAAAATATGTGGCAGCAATTTCAATCATGCCAGAATTAAAATGGGTAAATTGCCATTGCCTGCCGAATGGCGACTGCAGAAATTAATTTTTAGACCTTTAGTTTGGGCTGAATTTGTTATTTATATTTTTTACAACTTGGCAATAATGCACCAGACTCTCCTAACAGTAAAATAAACGAATTTCTTAAAGAAAGAATAATCCAAATCGGGGGNTTATATATATATTTCTATGTATGTACATATGTATGTACATACAAACATCGAGTTATATGCATTAATTTTGAAATGGGGTACGAAAAGTTGAACGAAATTGGATTCTGGGAACGTAAATTGATGTGTTGGAAATTTGTTCTCACTTTATTAATTTCAAGCATCAATTTTTCGAGTAGCTAATTATGTATATGGAGCAATCTTAGTAAGCTCTACAAAAACTGTAGCAGTTACGTTTATATTTTTCTCACTCCTTTGCAACCATTTACCCTTTTTAACCGACTTCAAAAAAGTAGGAGGTTACCAATTTGTGGGAATATTTTTTTTTTTATGTATGTTACCGCATAATTTTGGACTACGTGAACAGATCATGAAGAAATTAACGGACCTTCTACATTCATTTAGCCTTGCAGTCTGTTAATGTTTTGCTTAAAAATTATTTGTTTTCATTTCGTTTCAATTTAAAAGTCAATTATTTCATTTTCGAGGTGGTATCTTTCTCTAGTCGATTTTTGTCGTTGAACCAAAATCGACCAGTGTAAAATCTACATAAGTGTTTTGGCTGGTCGATTTCTCAGTCGACACAAATCGACCCGTGTAAAGGCAGCCAATTACTAAAATTGTCTTCCTAGAGCTGTCTATTGTTAAATTCATATTTGACCCAAAATACGCCTTAACGTCAAAGTTACGCTAAAAACATCTAACTGGCAACATACACATATTTATGTGTATCCAGCAGATAAATTTTATGGGTTTTTTACATTGACTGAGACTAATTACCGCAGAACTCATTTTTCCCCGCCCAAGCAAAGATTTCGTTTCTTGTCGATGGTAAAAATTTGATGCGTGCCGAGGACTGTGTGTGGCATTACGGTCGATATGTTGTTGTACAATAGTTAGCCTGCTTCAATTACTCTTGGGAAAAAATTTTACCAAAAATAAAAAATAAAATAATTGAAAACAAATTTTTAGTTAAATGGTTTTATTGAAAAGAAATGGGCGATAATGATGTAGATAATGTAGTAAAGGCTACAAATAAAATAAAAGAAAATACATTTTTAAGTTAAACTAAAAGCTAAAAAAATTGAAGAATTGAGCTTAAGCTCAGACTCAACAATGTGTATGGAAAATCGAGTCAGAGCTTAATTAAGCTCACTTTTTATTTACTTTTACTTATTTTCTTTAATTTTTCTTCTCTCTATTTTCTAAATAAATCGGACTTACATTAGTCGAATGTTACTAATTTTCCTGTAAACAATTTCAACAGAGAGTTTCACGAAACAAAAGCTGTGTTTTGTTGTAGTAAATAACTCAAAGTCTCTAATGTAAATGGCTTAGGCCACTTCGCTTCCTTTTGGTCGTGGACATTAAAAAGTAGGTACCGTACGCTTAAATCTACTTCAAACTCCAAATGAATTGGAGTTGGTCCAATCTCGTCAAAGGAATAGTAGCTAAGGAGCACCAAAGCTCGAGAGGTGGGCAATTCTGTAGAGATAAAGCGTACATTGTTATGAACTTAATGCTGCATTCAAATGACTCTACTCATTTGGACTTTACAAAGTATGTAAATACTTCACTAACCAAAGCAATATCCTTAGGCACTCTCTTAAAGAAAACAGTTCTTTTTTGGATTTCTGCCCACAAGTGGACCACTTATCAATTGCAATGGCTATATACAAACATAACATAGTACAACATACATACATACATATGTATGTGCATATGTGCATATGCAGTAAGTATTTACATACCTATGCATTTTTATTTTTGTGCATGCAAGTATGTAGATACTTTCAAATTGCAATCGCTGAGTTCGTCGTGTCTCATCTGAATTGAAAGAAGTCTACATTCTTATCGTTGCTATGATAAGAAATTATTGTGAAATCGCATTGAGATGAACATTTATAAAATAAAATTTGTATGCTGAACTATATTTTTTATTGCTGCCCATTAAGTGTCTATGTGTTTTACGTGATATTTACTTTCAGTTTGCCGGATTACATAAACTCCCCCCCCCCTGCTTCTGATTGTTGTTTGTAGTTTCATTGTCTTCTTCTATGAACATTAAAAAAAAAAAATTAATTGACTTATGCAAATATTTAGAAGCTTCTAAAATGGTAAACTGCGTGTGGGTGCCATATATGTACATACATACATAGTAATTTTTATTTATTGCGTGCTATTAAAGTTGGGTCATAAAGATTATTCGCATCAGTTCCACATTTGGTTGTTTCTCTCATTTTGACGGTCAGCAAATTACATTTTACCGCCATTATGGTCGATCTAAATTCAAACGGCTAAACTAACAGGTAGAACTGTTAACTTGTGCTAACATTATATGTACATATGTAGGCAGTGTACATACATACAGCCCCGGATTAAAATGTGTGGGCGCTAAAGGGCCGGAGAAGATGTGTGGCCCGGTAGCCATTACCTGTAGATTAATGGAAATGCGTTTCCTTCTATTACCGATATATTTTTATATCATAAATACTAGTGTTGGAAAGTATCGAGTACTTTTGAGGATCGGGTATTTTTGAGAGTACTGAGTACTTTCTTAAAATATACACATTTTGGTAACATTTCAATGCTTAATGTAGAAATATCAAAAGCTGACAGCACCTTATTCAAATTAATATATTTATACCAAATTAGGTCAAATGAATGGCTAACTTTACTGGGTAGAAGTACTATTGTACTTGAAAACTATTGAAACTTCAAATTGAGTACAAACATTTCTGAATACCGGTAAATGTAAATAAAAC